GTGTGTGTGTGTGTGTGTGTGTGTGTGTGTGTGTGTGTGTGTGTGTGTGTGACATGCGTACCCAGATGTAGTCACGAAAGTCAAAGAGAGATGAATTGGGTGGAAGTGGTATGGGGGGCGTTACGTAATCACCGTGCGATAGTGCCAGAGAGGGATAAAGATGTTCCAAACAAACATAACCCCCATGCACTCAGCTGGAGTGATGCACGGCTCCGTTATATGCGCGTGTTTGCTTGCGCTTTTGAACAAATGTAGAAGAGCGGCAGGGGAAGCAGAATGTTTGCGTCAGTGTTTTGGGTGTGTCTACTGTGTGAGTGCATGGAGGTGGGCCATCTCAGGGTCTGCGGTTCCAGGCTGTCACTGTCTCAAGAGACTGGGTCTGCCAGTGCTCTGCACCTCTTCTTCTTCTCCTCCCCTTTGTAGTCTGTCTCTCCTCCCTCTCCTGGGTCCAGCTCAACACCTGCTCCTTGCAGTAGGCCTAGGGCTGGGCAGGGGTTCCTAAGCAACTGGAAGCAACGCAAGTTGTTCATATGGGTTTTGTTTGCCTGCCTTGCTCCCCTTCCTCTGTTTTCTCCTCAGTAGCGACACAAAACTTACATCCTGCCTGTGCGCAACCCTGATTCCTGTTAATGTGTTATGTCAAAGTAAATGTTTAACAAATGCCAGTCGGTGTGCTGTTATGGTGTCCTCGCTTTGCTTTGCGATCAAAGTCTAAAGAAAAAAAAAAAAGCACACAGACGCACACAGACTGTTACTGGCCTGGAGAGATATTTTCTGTTCACTTTCATCATTCGCCCCAAAGGTAAGAGCTTCGGACTTTACGGCAACCCGGTATTATTTTAGTTGGAATCGCAGGATAACCTTTTTTTTGCCGGTAAGATATTTTATCTTCTTCAGCATATAATAGTGCTAGACATGACATGACACTGATAACGCCCGCCACATGAACTTGCCTGTGTAGGACAAAGGTGATGGCGCCTCACCCCCGTGTGGTTCTGAGAATAATGAGCCCCCTTCTGCCTATGAGCCGTATGTCGCTAATGGGGTCAAGCAGATGGGTGGGGGAACCGTCATGTGGTCCATAAAGACTGCTTGTGTGTATGTGTGTGCCCAAAAACAAGACCCATATGTGTGTGAGCTTGTTTTTGAATTTTGAGATGTAGATCGACGGGTGGGTGTGTCTGGGATTGTAGTTTTCAGCTGGGCAGAGTTTTAAGCTGTTCCTCTGTCACGTCTGCAGTCTTGAGACCCTTACCTATGTTGTGTTGGTGCCTGCCTCCTCCTGCTTCTGGGCGTTGCACAGTACTAATGATCGCTCGCTTTAACCGATCCACACCACGCATGCACTTTTAAAAGGGGTCAATACAGTGAAATGAATCAAAATATGGGTTTTTACTTGGCAAACCCACATAGCCTTACTAAATTTCATTCATGAGCAATTTCTAAAACCATCTTAAATGTTCTAGGCGTCATTATTATGCACCGTTTTTATATTAAATCAGAATTTCTCTGGAGCTGGCCTCATCAGCCTTATATGAAAGTTGTGTGCATCTCCTCCGCCTTGGCATGGGTTTGTAAGCCACGCTGGTTGGTGCTCATTCGCTCAGCTGAAGTCCAAGCCTCGGCGTGAGACTCCACCCCTTTACGAGCATCGGACACCTTCAAGCACAACAAAGCATGTGTCGCTCAGCAGCATTGTTTCTCGTGTGAACGCGCGGAATATCGCATTTTTTTCTGTCCGTCTTTGCGCCATCCAGTCTCCTCCTTGATGCTGATCCCGGAGTAGGTAAGCCGCATTTCAGGCTCGCATGCGCCGGGGCTGTGGAGATGAGTTGGTGTGTGTTTGTTTTGTTGCACATTCGGCGCCATTTTCGTGCACAGATTGTTTAAATACCCCGGCATGTAGGTCCGACACAGCCCGTAACTGTTTCAGGGAAGGAGGGTGAAAAAGTTACATTTTAGATTATTTTAAACGTAATTGATCATTTATTATTATTATTATTATTAACGCGTAATTAATGAATTTGTTCCGCTTGAGGATTGTTTAGTTTAAAACAACCAAACAAATAAAACACCTTTAGAAACGAACAGTAGTGTGGAGGCAGGGTGTGTTGTTGTTTAGTGTAAAATAAATAAATAAATGCAATGATCGCTCTGCTAAAAGAGGGCGCATTTAGACATTTCGGGAAAACCCACTTTGCAATTTTCCCTCTTTTTATTATAGTAATCCTGATATATTATGATTGAAAAAAATTGATAAACATAGATTATAACAAGAAAAAAAACATAGGTTTTCTATAAAACAGTTTTTTTTGTTAATTTATTTTATTTCATTTATTTTTTTATTGTCTGACAGGTACATAAAGAGCTTTAAAAGTATTGACTGGGATGCCTGAGAATGGCCGCCCTGTTTAGGTCTCTTAAATCATACTTAAAATGTGTTATTGCTGATGATGCTCTTGTGTCTGTCTTCTCTGTTCAGATGTTCAGTTGTTGCTTGTTTGTTTATTTTTAATTGGTGCTGCTCTGCTTTGGATTTCATATTTTCTGCTCGCTTTTGCACCGTGAGGAGTGTATTAGGGGTTAAAAGATGCCCATCTTTACCACAGGGCTTCATGTGCCTGTGCCTGTCTTGTTCCTGCCTGCGTACTTCGGAGCAACTCATCCAATAAGCCTCATCTCCATTGATGATACTGCTGAATATATATAGTCAGATAATCTTTTATGAAGCGCTGCAGATGTGACGTAGGGCGGATGAGGGAGAGTGTCGCGGGTTGAACTAATGCAGCAGAACTGGCAAGTGCTGGCATGAGCAACAGAGGTAAACACGGAGGTTAAAAATAACAGATAAGACTGAGGGTCTCCTGCACTGCTGAATCAGCAGTGTTGTGGACACAGAGCTGCTGAAGTGATACGCAAAGATGTTTTTGGTCTTTCTGTGTGAGAGTGAGGTCATCCAGGTCCCAGAAGAGCTTGCTGATGTTAATCCTCTTTTGGGAGTTATGATGCATTTGAGCAGTTAGACTACTACTGTGTTGTATGAGCATTACCAAACAGGGAACAGACTCTGCATCCCTTAGAGCCATTTGCTCTTTCCTTCATCAGTTAGGACAGTGATTACGATTATTAAACACCAAGGAAAAAGTAAATTTAACATAACCTTTTCACAAATAATTCTAGGATCAAATTAGACATTTTTTTTCACTTAATGACAGAAAACTGAGTAATGGCACAAAGCTGATTCTGAATCTTATAACGTGTCTGTATTTCTATGTCTCTGCAAGATGGAAAGAAGCTTTCGTTCACAATGTACAGAAATATTATGACTCTAATCGGCGGCGGCTGAGGTAATGTTGGAAAAGGATTCGAAATTGCTTTCAGGGCAACCGCAGTAAATCAATCACGGTACTTCATTGTTTTCCCATGTCGGTTCATGTTACAGCATCACACTCACAGACACCATCTGTGTGTATTGATTGGTGTGGCACTGAGTTTGGGATAGGTTTACACTGATAGCCAGACTGAAATAAACCATTGGAAACCAACACCGTTTGTTCGACCGTCCTCCGGTTCACACGGGAGATTGTGGACCCAATCTTTGATTGCTACATTTCATTTGTTGTAGTCAGCCTATGCTTCCTGTCCATAATCCATAACTACACAGTAGCAATTTACATCCTGTGATCATTTAAGAAACGTGTTTATGAAAACTGTAAAGACGAAATATGGATATAAATCCCTGCCCGTGTGCTTGTATTCACAGTGTTGCTAGGCAGGCTTCTATGTTAACCGCACACGAATAGGTTAGCGAGGCACGTGTTGGCGTGTATGTTGTCATGTGTGCCTCTGTTTGCAAGGAGAGGTTAATGGGAGCCACCATGTGGCCGGAGGGGCTGATATCTTGGTCTTCAGTTCATTTCTGTTGATTTTCAGCCAGGTAGGCGGGGCTCCACATAAAACCATGAATCAGCACAGTGGATCACCACTGTGCTTCTGCCAGCTTTTCTTTTTCCTTGCTCACGCACGCACGCACACACACATACAGATGCATGTAGGATGAGGAGCACAGAGCTGGCGAATCAGGGTGGAGGGCGACAGAGAGAGAGAGAGAGATCCTGTGGGCAGGTAGATGGAGATAATCTCACTTGGTCACTTGGGGGCTGATTAACTCTAAACTCCTTCTAATTCCTTAAGCCTACTGTCAGTGCCCAGGAAACATGCTTTCGTTGTCTTCTAGTATTTATACGTCGTTGCAGTTATTTTGGGAGCCGCGCTTATTTTAAGTCAGCGGTCAGTGCTGATAATGACGGAGCAGTGCACTCATTCAGATTAAATCCATTTTCAAAAACTGGGCTTTAAGTGGAATTGAGTGTGCAGTTGCGATGGTGCACGCATGTATACACGTGTTGTGAACAGGAATAGATATGAGGTTGTCTATAAAGGCCAACTAATGAGTCCCAGCTTCTTGCGCACACGTTGCTATTTATACACTTTACCTCCTCCTCCTCCTGTGTCTCTGCAAGCTCGTCTTCATTCAGCCCTCTGCTTTTATTTTATTACACATGCACGCAGCGGTGCTGCTGCAGCGTCACTGGTAAACAGTGTGACGGTTTTAGTAGCGAGACAAATATATTTTCGGAGTGTGAGAATGATAAATAGAGCTTTGATCGTGTGGCTGGGTTAGCATCAGTTCAAGCAGTTATTCTAATAACTAATAACTAAGCATATGCAATTTTTCTTGTAAGTCAGGTTCACTCAGTCATATCACCTATTTTCAGATTTTTAAATAACCTTCAGATGAATTAAGAGCATAATAAACTCTAAATCACATCCTCTTTTGACTCCAGTTCTGTTCACACCTGATCCAGCAGCTCACTTATGCTGGAGGGTGGCCTGCTTCATCTATAATTTAGCTCATTAGAGACACTAATTATATGGTATTGAGGGCAGTTTTATCCCTCTCGGTGCAGCAACATTTCATCCATGTGTAAGAGGAGGAGATATTAGTCACGTTGCTAGAAATTAACTGTGAGTTGAGATCCTGTGGCGTGACGGTCGCCGTCTCAATTGGTCAGGATGCAGGTTGGGCCTGCTCAGCTGGGTGACAGCAGAGATGTTAGATAGGCAACACAAAATGGAGGAGGCAGCAGACACAAGCTCAGCTGGTCCATTAGGAGCATGTCTGCTTTCTGACAATCAGAATTGAGATGACAGAGCACTAAAAGACCCAAAGGAGACTGTGAGCATTGATGCATACCACTATCTGTGTGTGTATGTGCATATGGTTGTGTGTGTGGTGACCTAGGGAATAGGCCTACGGGGGGGGGGGTCTTATGGGGGGGGAAGGGTAGGCAGGATTAGTTATAGTGTTCAGCCCAGTTATTGGTCACTGGACACAAACAATGGGAGGGCTAAAGAGGATTTGTTCTTATGTGTACCCCCCTCCTCCTCTCCCGCTGTCCTGTAGTGCCAGTGGGAAGTGCACGGTATAGAGGTCCAGGCTGCACCCAACGGGGGCGGCCCCGTGCATCTGGAAGATTGGCCCGTCTGCCCGTCTAGCGTTTTCCCATCCCCCACCCCTCCCCCAGCCCAGGGTGGGACTTGAACTACATATGGACGAGACAAAAACACAGCCACATTCGTCACCAGTCAGACGAGACCTAGTTCAGGGGAGCGTGCACATCGGCACAGTCGAAATAAGGAGCTGATCTGCGATGCGAGTGGCTGTAACTTGCTTAAGCGAGGTGTTGTGCCATTGCACAATACCTGCAGTTTTTTTTTAGTCCCTGTGTGATTTAATCAGCTGGTTAGAAGTTTCTAAATATACCAGATCTGTCCTCACACTGCCACCGCAGAGGATCAAAGTTGTGTTCATTAAAGGGCCCAAGTACTGGGACTGCGAGTCACATCATTTTGATTGTAATAACACGGGCAGGTATGCTCGCTCTGTTACATACTGACAGAAGTCAGCCTCACCTTAACCGAGTGAGGTTGAAAAGTACAAGAGGTAAAATGAGATGGACGTGAAACCACTAAGAAATATTTTTTTAAATCTCGATGTGTTAAACTATTTGAAATTGTGTGAGTAATCAGGTGGCTTATTTACTCATTACTAGCAGACATATACAATAACAATACTGTGCAGAGCAAAATGTGACTGAAGTAAGAGTTAATTTATTGACCTGCAATTTTAGACGTTAAGAATGACTTTTAAAAAACTTTATAAGCTTTTTATTGGTTTATTTATCTCTTTATTGTCATATTGTTCTAGTGCCTTAGATGACCTAAGCATGAGGGGCGTGTGTGATTTGAAGAGCCAGGCATGCCCAATGTAGACAGTGCTAATAGGCAAATCCGGAGCAGAATGCCTCCTTTGTGTCAGTGAGCTTTAATGAGCCTGTTGTGAGATCTCAGAGAAACACTCTGCAACAAGGAGGACCATTGTGCGATGAAATGATGTTTGTGCATGTGTAAATACGTGCGTGTGTTTGAGTCACGGCGCAGTCTGTAGGTGGCAGTTGGCTCCATGTCTCCTGGAATATTAATAAATAATAGGCACTCTTAAGGAGTAGGCAGCTAACGATACACTGAAGCAACAATGAAAATTACAGTGAAAAATAGCTTATTGTTAATTAAGAGTGTAAGCCAAAATGCAGAATATTTAAGAGAAAATAAGCAGGAACGGGTAGAAATAATCCTGTTTGTGTCATAAAATAAAACATTATCTGTTCCGCTGGCAATCTGAGCCGAGGGCGATGACTGAAAGGCAGATTAGATAGAGCTTAAAACAGGAAATAATCCACAGATTTTAGTAAATTTTGTGTAGCTGATGTGATAGTTGCTGTCTTGATTAAAAAGTCACTAGTTTTACCTGTAAAATGCTTTAAAAATGTCCTAAAATTTATTTAAAAAAACCCTTTTGTTCCAAAACTGCGTATGTGTAAATGAAGTGTTAAGTTAACCTGGTTTATTGGACACCATCAATGCTGTGACCTTTCTTCATCTATGACTCCCTTCTGTTTCACCTTCGCAGTGGCTACCATGACAACAGAGGCAACTGCCGTGACTGAGGCAGACACTGAGGGCAAGCAGAAGACCAGTAGTGCTGAGCCCGAACCAGAGAACAAGCAGAAGGCAGAGGCGGCTACATCTGACCCAGAGGGGGAGCAGTCGAGCACAAAGGCCCAGGAACAGGTCACTGAGCCTGGGCCTGCCGAAGCAGCGACCTCCCCTGAGGAGGAGCAGCTAAAGCCTCGTACCAGGACCTCTGCTGGCAAAGGCCTTTCTCGTCTCTTCTCCTCTTTCCTCAAGCGCCGATCGCAGTGCTCAGAGGAAGAGGTGTTTGAGGCAGAAAAAGCCAAAGACGAAAAGGCAGACAAAGAGGAAAAAGTAGATAAAAAAGAAGAGGAGAAGGTGGAAGAAGGGAAAAGTCAAGACAAGGAGGCCAAAGCAGAGGAGGAAAAACCAGAGGTGAAAGAAGTGAAAAAGAAAGACGACAAAGCAGAACCTAAAGAAGAGAAAAAGAACGTGGAAGAAAAAGTAGAGAAGAAAGGTAGCAAAAAGAAAAAGAAAGAGGCCAAGAAAAAAGCAGAAGAAAAGGATGAAGAGAAAGTGAAAAAGGAGGAGACAAAAAAGGGGGAGGAAAAAAAGGGGGAGGAAAAGTTGATGAAAAAAGAGGAGCAAAACGAGGAAGGGACAACACAGCAGACTGTAGAAAAGGAGGAAAAGCAAGTGGAGAAAAAGGAAGAGAAAAAGAAGGAAACTGCTGAGGTCAAAGGCAAGGCGGCAGACGCTGGAAAGAAGGAGGAAGAAAAGGTTGACAAGAAGGTGGCAAAGAAAAAAGAAAAAGAAGAGAAATTAAAGAAGAAAGAGGAGGAGAAAGCAAAAAGGAAAGCAGAGGAAGAAGAGAGGATAAAAAAGAGGGAAGAGGAAAAAGCAAAGAAGAAAGAAGAAGAAAAAGCCAGAGAAGCCGAGAGAGCGAAGAAGAAAGAGGAGGAAAAAGCTAAGAAGAAAGAAGAGGAAAAAACGAAAGAGGAAAAAGCAAAAACAAAAGAAGAGGAAAAACCAAAAGAGGAGTTGAAGAAAAAAGAAGACGAAAAGGTGAAAGAAGAAGCAAAGAAGAAAGAGAAAGAAGGGGAGGAAGCAAAGCCGGAAGAAAAGGAGGAAAAAGAAGAGAACAAAGAGAAGAAAAAAGACAAGGGAAAGAGCAAAGGAAAGAAAGAGGAGAAGGAAGTGAAGGAAGTGAAAGGACCGAGTGAGGAGCAGGTGAAAGCACCGATTGCTGCTCCTGAGCCTGAGCTTAAAACTGAGCCAGATATTGAACAGGCTGCTGATCAGCACTCTATAAGCAGCACAGAGGCGCAGGTGAGTCCTAACAATCTCACATTTAGAGTACTTGTTCTAAGATTCACTGTGATTAAGATGAAAGTAGAACCAGTAGGCAGTTGGCTTAAATTAGCATGATCACTGGAAATGTAAAGATATGGCCGCCTCTCCTAAACAGACCTCCAAAACTTACGGGTCAAACAATATATTTTGCCTGTGTATTTCTACCAAAAAACAAAGCTAACTCTAAAAACAGACCGTATTTATTTGGAGTAATGTGCAGTCCTATTTTTAAGCCGACTGCCGTGGTTTCAGACTGTTTGCAATGTCCTTGTGATAACAAGACCCCAGGAAGCCTGACCTTGATGGAAAAGAGGTATTACAGACTTTCAGAGGTGCTGTAGACCGACTCCAGACAGATTTATCTAACTCATCTAACTGTATTTTCTAAAACAAGGGCTAAAAAAGAACATCACTGCAGACAAAGGTTATAAAAAAAGCACTTCATGCTGCTGATTGGGTTTTGCTTTCTAATGAATTTTTTATGTGGACAGCTTGCTCAGTGAGCATCACTGTGCTCACTTGGGCTTAAAGGCTGGTCTGAAACAAAGATGACCCATGCTGGTTTGAACTAACGCTAGTATCAACCGCTCGGGTTCATCCTGGGTTATTTGAGTACTACCTTAGTATGGTGCTCTGTATAATGTCTCCCACTTTCTCTTTCATCTTTGTGACACACTTTGGCAATTGTCTGGTTTTGACTATTTTAGCCAGCCCAAGAGGAACACAAGGAAGAGGCTATGATAAAAGAGCCTGAAGCAGTGGAAGAAGTGAAACAGGAGGACACGGAGAAAATAGAAGAAGAACCAGCAGAAAAGGAAGAGCCAATCAAAGAAGAGGAAAAGGAACAAAAGCAGGCAAAGAAAGAGAAGCCTGCAAAAGAAAAGACAGAAAAGAAGACTGAAGAGGTTAAAGGCTCTAAACGTCAGAAGACCATGCAGTGCAAAGTCACCCTGCTGGACGACGCTCAGTTTGAGTGTGAACTTGATGTAAGCAAACCCTCCCAAAATGCACCACTGTTGCGTTTGCTTTTCTGTGATGATAAACATGGAAACTGAAGAGTTTCTCTTGCCGTGTGTCCCATGTCTGCGTTTCTCTTGCTCATTTAGAAACATGCTAAAGGCCAAGAACTTCTTACAAAGGTGTGTGACCATGTTAACCTCCTGGAGAAAGACTACTTTAGCCTGGCTCACTGGGAAACCCCAACCAGCAAGGTAGGATGGTTTTACCCTTCTGTAGTGTTAATTACTTGGAGCATAACTGGATGTTATGAATGACAGTGCAAAAAAAAGTGAGCAAATTTTCTTGCATTTCTTCCGTTTTGCTCAGACATGGTTGGAACCCACCAAAGAGATACGGAAACAGGTTCCAGGTGCTGTCTATGAGTTTACATTCAACGTCAAGTTCTACCCTCCTGATCCAGCTCAGCTTACTGAAGACCTAACCAGGTGAGCAAGCATCAGCTTAAAGGAATGGATCAACATGAGGCAATAGGGAGCTTTTGCACTGCATTTATTCAACCCAGGATAAATGTTCATAGACTCAATTCCTTAATCGTTTCACACCTTTTCCAGGTACTTTCTGTGTCTCCAGCTGAGAAAGGACATTATGCTTGGTGTTCTTCCCTGTTCCTTTGTCACACTGTCCCTGCTGGGCTCCTACACAGCCCAGTCAGAACTCGGAGAGTATGACCCCGAGCTCCATGGAACAGACTACGTTAAAGATTTGAACCTGGCCCCCGGACAGAGCAAAGAGCTGGAGGAAAAAGTGATGGATCTGCACCGCACATACAGGTCATTAAGGAGTTGTCTAGACACGCCCTTTTCACAGTGTTCATTTAAGCCCAGTGTGCATACATTGAAGGAACCTAATTCATTTTCAAAGCTGCTTGAAGATGATTGAGCCTCAAAAATGATTCTGACAGTAAAATACGTCTTTGAATTAAACGTTATCGTGTGTGCCTCCAGATCAATGAGTCCAGCCCAGGCAGATCTGCTGTTTCTGGAAAATGCCAAGAAGCTCGCCATGTATGGAGTTGACCTGCACCAAGCCAAGGTATGTTTATTTTTATTTTTTAAATTATTTTACTGGTTTGGATGAATGGTTTGCTTCTTAACACGTGGTCCAGTCTTTTTCATAGAAGCATGTCACGAGTATGTATGCATGTATTGATTTTTATTCGATTTTAAAATGCTCTTTTTACAATAGCATCATTGTATTGCAGCAGTAGCATCCATATTTAATTACAAAATTGATGTCATACCCCTTTGGAAAAAAAAAAGAGAGATTAATAACATCCTAAACTCCATGACCTCAAACAGCATTCGTGTTTCGTGAGAAAGTCTGCCCCCCGGTGACTGATTATTGCAAGAGCAGGCTGGCGGTGTTTGGTCAGGGCTGTAAATGTTCCGTGGCGTTTCTTGCATGCAGGATCTGGACGGTGTTGATATAATGCTGGGCGTTTGCTCCAGTGGTCTGATGGTTTACAAAGACAAGCTGAGGATCAACCGTTTCCCTTGGCCCAAAGTGCTCAAGATCTCATACAAACGGAGCAGCTTTTTTATCAAAATCAGGCCGTCAGAGGTAAATCTCACTTTACATAGTCTGTATGTTTGACCTGTATTGATTTTTTATTGTTCTATACAGATCCAATTTCCATAGATTTCCTCTGAGCTTAGCTTTGAAAAATGTAAAGAACTGATTTCTTTTAATAACCAATAGATTGTGTGTGTGGGGGGGGTTACTCTAACCCCCTAGACTTATTTATTATTTCTCAGCAGAAGTGGCTGGTATAAAATGTAATAGTACTGTTAGTTTATATTGCTATTGGTTTTCTTATACACATAAATGTAACTGTACGACTGAGCCAACTGATTGCAAGAATGATAAGATACATCCAGCTTTTCAGATGTCTTTCAGTTTCTTTCACTATTTAAAGAAAACTGTGTTTCACAATTGCAGAATAATGTCGCTATGGAGTCATTGAATTTGACTTTTGTTTCTTTGCTTTTAGCAAGAGCAGTATGAAAGCACCATTGGTTTCAAGCTGCCCAACTACAAAGCCTCAAAGAAGCTGTGGAAAGTTTGTGTTGAACATCATACCTTCTTCAGGTAACAACGCTTTGATTCTGAGTGACACTTAGGTCCTCCCTATCCACTTGTTAATTGGCTAACTCCTCACTCCACCTTAACCCCTGTATTGGCACCACAGCAGTTTTAACCACAGAGGAAAAGCTGAACACTCTTAAAGCTTTTGTCTGTTTAATGAGATAAATCCAAACATGTTGCTAATCTTTTTACATAACACAAATCCTTTTTTTTTTTTTTTTAAAGAAGACAGTGCAGGGTTTATAATTTTGAATCCACAGTGTTCATGTAATGGTCAAATAATGTGTAGATTAAAATGTAATTCTTATATCTCTTGCTCAGGGTTTCAACAGTGGAGCCGCCCTCTTCACGTCGCTTCCTCGCCTTGGGCTCTAAGTTCCGGTACAGCGGTCGTACTCAGGCCCAGACCCGCCAGGCGAGCTCCATGATCGACCGGCCGGCACCTCGCTTCACACGATCTGCAAGCAAGAGGCTGTCTCGCAACCTAGATGGAGGTATGCGTGAGTGTATGTTGTCACACCTGTGTGTGTGTGTGTGTGTGTGTGTCCTGCAATAAACCACAGGTCCAATAAGGTGCCCTCTGACTTCTTTTGCTATAGAACCTGGAGATGAAACTCTCCAGTTTCTGCAGGTAGTCTCGGCATCAGCCAGGACTCAGGTTGATGATTGGTCACTGCTGATGGTATCTGAAAAACCCCAGCCTTCTTCCGAATTCACAGGTACTTCGAAGTGTGTGAAGTGATGCCTTTTGGCATACCTTCTACTCGCAGATTGCTTTGTAGGATCTAACAGCCTTTTTGCATCATTTTTCCATTCATCTTTGCTTCCATACCTGCAAAACTGTTGCTGTTCAGCACAGTTAGCTTGTCTGGAAAGTGACCTATTCTGATACATGAGAAGGGACACGTACCCTGTACTTTCCCCGGTGTGACTCCACAGTATTGTTGGTTACTGAAATCTGAAAGAAATTAAACAAATTTCCTCACAAATGTAACTCTAAACAGGTATTTCCAGTCTTGAGGCTCTTGTTCCTCTTTTTTTTCATTTCATAACTTTGCACTTAACGTGTGTTGCACAATCGCTTTCATTTGCTTATTTTCATTTGCCTTTATGCTTGAACTTTTGACTGACTGACCTCCCTCATCACTGCCCCAGTGCCCATCATTGTAACGGGTTCCATCTGGAGCCTGTTTGTGTTCCAAAGTGCAAAAGGCATCTTTCATTCATCTTTATACTAACTTCGCTTTACTGGACTCACAGAAGTCTGGCACAAAAGCTTGAAATCTTGCTTGCTTGAAGCGCTGTGCAGCATTCACAGCCGGTCGTCATCTCTGCAGCAAAACCATTACATAACTGGCATCACCTCGTCATGTCTTCACAGCCGGAAGGGAGTTTGAGCAGAATTTCACTCAGTCCTGGGAGGAGGAGGAGGGGCGTACTGTTGGCACGGAGACTGGGACTGCTGGTCCTCAAACCATTATCCAGACAGTCAGTCAGCCATGGCAGGATCTGGCGAGCGATGACGATCACCAGCAGAGGAGAACGGAAGATGAATGGTTTATTCTTCTGGATCATCAGCCTCATATTCCATTTATCTCACCCTTTGATTTTGTTGAAGAGCCAGGTATCTACCTTTATAGTGCATGGGTAGCGTCAAATATCGCAAATTTAACATGCGCATCATTCATGTTGCCACCATACTATATGCACACGGCACTACTCAGTAAGAAACCAGGCGCGTGGCTCCACGTGGCCTTCTCGTTTCAGCTGGTTGAAGTTTGTTGTTGTTTGATCACCTGATACAAAAAATGTTGCACCTTGTTTTTTGATGTCAGCTGAAACTAGCTTGGCAAAAACGAGCTCTATGGACCACCAACTGGAACCAGTGGTGATAAAACAGGATGACTGGTTCCTGTACTTTGACCGTCTGCTCAGCGTGTCTCCCTCTGAGCATTTTGAAAAACTTCAACGTGAGTTTCTTTGTCTGGCTTTCTGCAAAAACCTTCACACTTTTTTGGGTAAAAAATGGTAAAAAAAAACCAATTAATTAAGCACTTAAACGGTTTGTTGTATCACTCTTCCAGTCTCTACCACGGAGGGGGAGGAGGAGGAGCAGGTCATAAGCGTGAAAGAACAGCAAATGATCACTGAGGAGATGATTGGGAGGATGCGGGAAACAGTGATGTTGGTGGATGCATTTACAGAGAAGGAAATTTTGGAAGGAAGATTGAGGGAC